TCAATATTTTAAATCAATAAAATTTGCTAGAAAACTAGCAATATCCCCCCCACCCCTAATAAAGCTAAGGAATGATCAGTTATGACAATTTTTGGTGTATTAGCAGCTATATTTACCCTCAATGTGAAATAGATCGCACTAGAGGTATTTTCCCAAATTTCAGTTTTAAATCAATTACTTCAGTGTAAGAAAATATGCCTAGATGCTGGTCGTATGGTCGGCTTATTTTTTTTTTTACCAAGGTCCCTGTGACATATATTTGTAGTATGGATTAGTGATCTGTATCGGGCCTAATTTTTAAGCCCGGCCAGAAATTTTTTTAAAATGGTTTTGCAGGCCCGGCCCGAACCCGAAATTTTTTTAAAAAGTTTTGCTGGCACGGCCCGAACCCAAATTTTTAAAAAAATAACCGGCCCGACCCCGCTCGAATTTATTTAAATTAATTTTTATAATTACTCAAAATAAAAAACATATGTTATATGGCGTTTAGTTTCAATAAATAAAATCAAAAATTTTTATTTTACATAAAAAATTCAATATAAAATTGATAAATTTAGATATATTTAAAAAAATATTAGGCCCGCCCCGGGCCGAACCCGATACAGGATATATTGATCATGCTAGGTAAATATGGTTGTGTACATTTTAGACATAATAATTGATTTATTATGAAATCCGACTTGATTCTAATATTTAAAAATGATTGTTTTTACTTCCATAGGATATCTAAACAATATAGAGTACGTTTATTAACTTTTTTAATACTCCATTTCAGAGCTAGATCTGTTTGTAAGTCCTTAGTCATTTATTCTCTTTTTGTCCTACTAAGTGGTGTTTTATAATTTAAATATATTATGGAAGTACCAAGATAAACTTATATATTCAAAATGTTAAAAAAAAAAAATTTGATAAAAAAGTCTTTAAATTGGCATTCGTTTGGTAATGAAAAAATATTTATTCTAAGATGATCAAATCGAGAGGATGATATAAAAAAATATTGTTTAACCAATTTTGAAATTTTATTCTTGGTTATTTTCTCATTTGGTACTTCCTTGTGAGTTTCAGTCAATAAATCGATATCAATGCCTTCCTATAATTCCATGTTGTTAAAAATATCTTGAATTGATTCACTAATTAATGAAACTTATACTTATAATTTAAAAATATAAACTATCAAACTTGTCAAAAATATTACTCCTTATTTTAAGAGATCAAACAAGTCGTCAACTTCTTTAACCTTATCATCGTGTAATGATAAGAGACCCAATTCTACACAAAAAATTGCCTTTTTTCACAACTGTACGATAATATGATATAAGAAATTTTAATATTTTGTATTTTTTAAACTTGAGCCATTATATGTTACAAGTAGCAATAACTTCCATATTCTCCCTATTATATATTACATTATCTAAAAATTTAAACCTACCAATGACTTTATTAATTATTTCAATTCTTTTTTAACATCTTCTTTTCCTTGAACCCTTAGTTTTATATGAATATAAAATCAAATTTCATTGTTTTAAGAAAAAAATTCATTAATATATTCATATTCGATTTGATTAATATCTAAGAATATTTTTATCGTGTAAGCCTAGCATTTAAATATACTTTTCATCATATAACTTAATAGCAAGAGTTAAAATCAAGTTAAATCTAACTCTAGTTACATCTAAACTAACCTTAGTTCACATTAGGTTGTAAAAATCTTAGAAATAGTAATATATGTATAGAAACACAAAGTTTTAATGCTCATTTATAGTTTATTTTACCAAACAAACAAAAGAGAAGATTAAAAATGGAATTATTTACAATTGTATATTACATCAATATTTTCAAGACTTCTAGTTCTAAAAGGCCTTTTTGGGTTTTATTATGAATATTATAGATTATAGACATACCAGCGCGTACGCAGGGGGGGGGGGCAGGGAGACAAATCCCCCCCCCCCCCCCCAAGCCAAAAAATGCAGATGCCGGATATATTTTTCAAAAATATTATTGTTTATATTTATTTATTCCTATCTCATATTAAATATATATTTAATTACATTTATTATCACAATCATCAACTAAGTTATTTTATCAATTAATTTCGATATCAAGTTTTCCGGCGTAATATTATCTTATTATTTTCAAATTTTTAGTGGCGTAATATATATCTACCATTTTCAAATTTCTAGTCAAATTATAATTATTCTAAAATTGTACAACAGGGAGAAAGAAATTGCAACCTTGTCCAACGAGATAAAGTATCCGCCATCAAGCAGTAACAGCTTTTATAAAGTCAGAAGAGCCGATTATTTGCTATTACTGAAATATCACAATGGCCTGAAAGAAATATTTCCTCAGAAGCAAGAAAATTATTGGATTCAATGCTTATTCCAAATTTTTTTTTCTCATTAGAATGTATTATTTAATTATACAACTATTTTATGTATTACTTTTCAAAAACATGACATTGACTTGATTAAGATGAGAATAGCGGAGAGCATTTTATTAGAATAAGGAAACTAGGGCTACTGTTGAATAAGAATTTCATATTTTATATGTTATTGTTAAGTCAAAAGCAGAGCTATACGTGTTTAATATTTGTCTCCTTCGACTTGCAGCAAGGCAAGCTCATAGTTAAAACATTAATATAGGATCAGTAGAAGAGTATATCTTAGATACAGATTTTATAACCCAAATAAATGAATGGTTTTTAATTAATCATGCAACACTTACCAATCTGCAAATATTACTTCCATAAAAGCCTTCCCAACCTTTTTCAGATTGTGATAGAAAAAAAATATTTGTTGGATTTTTATTATGAAGATGTTAAAATATCTTATATTAGCTGAATAACTATTATAAGATTAAGTATGGTTGATATAGTCTCGAAAAATGATATGGATGCTCTGCATAATTTCAAACACATTACGAAGATTGGATTTACATTGTAAATGTAATACAATTATTCCTAAGAAACTTTTTGGTATTAATTTATATTTCTAACATTTAAATTTTTTTTATACTTTATATATAAATTTTAAAGGCTCAAAAACCAAATTTCTATTTTGGGTCATTTAAGTGATTCTTTACATAATTTTTTTTATAATTCACATTAATTTAAAATTGTGTATTAGAATAATTATTGTCCTATTTGTCTTTCAAAGTATAGGAGAAATCTATAAGTTAAAAATATTATTCAGAGAACACTCGATTTAAAAACTTCTTTTGTAAAATTATATGGTGAATAAAAAAATCTTTTTAATGCAGTTGTTATACAAATTTATCGAGCTAATAAGTAACACTACATTAGCAAAGTAGAAATTTAAAAAAAAAATATGGATAAGGGGGCTTGAGAATTTTATCACATTTCTTATAAATGTTCAATATTTTTATTTTTCATATGGATAAGTGAATTTTTGATCCGTAGTTTCATATAGGGCCATTTTTATGCAAAAAATTTATCTTTGGTAAAATGTATATTTTGGATAGTCGACGGCATCACCAAGTTTTGACGTCATATATAAAAGCTATCTAAATAAATGGCAAAAAAAATCGAAAATCAACTCCTCTTATTGCTTAAAAACAAAGGTAAAGCAATATAAGTAAAACGGAAGTTAAAAAATAAAATTGGAATATATTATTTTTATATAGTTTTTGAGATATAAGCCTTTTAAAAGAGATTCTACAGATTCGATAGTCTCTTTTTGCACCTGAGGCTCTGTATCTCTAGAATCAGCTGAAACATACCATGTTTGGAGTGGGCCAGTAAATCAACTTTTATATAAATCTAGCTCAAAGACTAAGGGCCAGAAAATCAATTTTCATATAAACCTAGCTCAAAAACTATTTTAGATACGACTTTGATTCAAATTTTATTTCAAAGTTTAAGGATTGATTTGATATATTACTTTTAAATGCTTCCTCGTTGAAGCTACTACCCTTGTTTGATGATAAAACCTTCCGGTACATCTTACAATGAAATTTATGCCCTTGTATTAATATTTTTTAATAAAGATTAAAATATTTTGCGAATTTGGGAAAAGGAAATTCCATATTATCATCATTTTCCAGAAATTACTTTGTCGATATGATCTGTACCAAAAATATTTTCAAGCTCATTCTCTATCGTAGACATTTTAAACTGTTTTGAAAACTAGGATTAAAGAAGATTATTATATATAAATTTCAAAATTAAATAAAAAGATTATGATTTTAGAATTATAAAGTATTTATTATATAAAATTGAAAGTAGCAAGTTTACTGAAAAAAGTAGCGGGCTATAGTAGTGCGCTACTTTAACAACACTGCCTAATAGGCAAATAAGCTTTATAAAAATGATTTTTACTAAGACCGATTGGCAATTGAATTGCGTTGACAAAAAAATTTAGGTCACAATTTATGTGTGATTACCAGTAATTTTGAAATAGACTTGGAATCAAGCTCAACACAAGATTTTCATGTCACAGGAAAACTAATGGATAAGTTGAAAAAATTAATATGGACTTAAGATCAAATATTTTGTATTCATTATTGTTGAGTGTTTACAAGGAATTGGGATTATTTATTACAAATGTTGATAGCCTATAATAACAAGAAAGATTTTTGGTTTGTTTTTAAACTTATAACAATATTTTTTAAATCTTAGAAAAAGAGCATTTGCGATTATTTTCATATTATCTAAAATACTAAAAAACTGATGTAATTTGGTAATTAAAATTCTCTTAATACTAAAATTTTAAATATACTCTTATAAAATCAAATCAAAAACAATAATTATAAATTTAAAAAATTTTTTTAATGAGATAATTTGAGACAAGTGTGAAAACTTTTCGGGATCTTGTTACTGTGCATATGAATAGTGATAATGTACACTAGTATTATCGAGAGAAATCAATTTATTTACATTTAATATAATTTTCTATGAGACATTATTACGGATTAAAACCATTTTTTATAAATTGCGAATTTAATATGGATAATATATTTTTTAATATCTAGAAAATCCCTTGATTTTATGCAATATCCATATAATTTTTAATGGAATTGTCATTTATACCAGATAATAAATCATTTCCTTACTTGCAAGATTAAAAATCCCATGCCATGAAAGTTAATTAATCATATAATGTTATGTTTAAATATTTTTTTTAAAACGATGAAAGGAATGTGTTAATTGTAACTTAATGAGTGAAAAAATAATAGCGGAATGCTTGAAAAATAAAATAGTTCATTTGATTAGAATGACAAAAATTTAAAATTATTCCAAATAATAAATATGGGATAAGATTTTAATTTTTAATAATGGAATATGAATGTGAAAAATGAATCTTATATTAAGTGCTAGTTCTGTAAAAAAATCTTTTAGATTTTATTGTACGAGTAAAATAATCAAATACGAGAGACGGTAGTATCCGACTTAATCAAATGGCCAAAGGCCGTTTCAGGCATATTATTGGATGTTTCTTCATTCAAACCGCCATTGGTAGCTGCAATAAAACCACCATTTTTAACTCCCAGGTAATTGAAAGAAACCATTGAGGAGCTCAATGAATTATTTATTTTGTTCGCAGGGAAAGATGCGTTTTTAATTAGGGCATTGGTGCTGTTGTAAGTCGAATTGGTTAAGATGTGTGCAGCTATTAATTATTTATTTTTAGTATAATAATATTTTAATAAGTAAGTCTGTTATAAAATATCGCATGTTATTCACAGGTAAAGAATTAGTCATGAATTATTTCAAGCATGTGGAATAAAAGAGCTTGAATCCCTAATATCGCCTTCTACTTATAAAACTAAACCAAAAAAGGAACAAAAATGTCTAAAAATATGCATATTTTTCTTTCCCAAAATCCTCACAACTGATAGATATGTCTATTTAATGACCATATGAAATGGTGGAGGGGAGGACATTGAAAGAAGTTGTGAACTAAAAAAAATCATAGTAAAAAGTAAAGAGAAAAAATATATTACCGTCCTTGCTTTTGGACTTTCTCTTCAAGAGTTCCCTCAATCGTCGAGCCGAGAATAATTGATCAAGCGGTTCGAGTGATCTCAAGCAAGCTGGTAAAAAACTCCAATCCCTTGGAAGGAGGTAAGTGTTATATATGTTAATGCGATTTTTAAAATAATCAAAGTAAAAATTATTAATAAAAAACATATATCAATTCTTTAATTTGAACTTAATAAATAAATATTTAAATGAAGAGAACAATATTACATTCTGTCTATTATTTATGTTGTAAGTATATCATCTCACATTCCTTATTATTTTGCAAAAATACCACTAAAATATAATATTTTTGTTATTGGTCAAAAATAGAACCTCAAAAAAATTGGTAAGCAGGTTGGGCGCTTTTGTTGAAGTTTTGTTACTATAGTCGCGAATAAGATACCTATGGCAAGAAACCCAGTGGTGGCAAAAATAAGAGCAGAAGAGACACGATCCCCACCTACAGGTAGTAAAGCCGTGGTAAGTGTTGAGAGAGCAAACACTGATCCTATTTGTTTGTTAGCAAATATTGTAGAATTAGAAACGTGAGAAGCAACACTTTACTTCACTCAAATCTATACTAATAGGTCTTATAAATTTTATAATACTCTTTCTATAAAATTTCCTCATTTTAGCTTCAGCCACCCTTACTGTGGGTGAAAACACTATTTTACATAACTTACCTTTATCATCTCAATTTAATAAAATTATTTAAAAAACATTTATTAATGGATTAAACTATATAAAATTCCCTTACCGGGTAACACAAAAAAGGCTACTACAAGGTAAAAGACCGCGAACCAAGTGTATTTTGCGGTTGTGGCCCCCATAATTTTTGCTAATGCTAATGGAAATCTCAAGGCTGGAACGGGATACCAAAATAATATGCCCAAAATATTGAAAAATGTGTGACACAAGGCTATTTGAAGGCTATATTTCAATGTTAATGGGGAAGCAGTGAGAGAGGCTATAAGACCAGTGGCTGTAGTTCCAAGGTTGGAACCCAGAGTAAGTGGATAAACACGGTCTAAGCTTTATTATTTTGATTTTAATTCTATTGTTAAATTTATTTTTAAATAGTTTAGAAATCTATACAATTTATAATTTGAAATCTGATGTTACTATCTTCCATTGAATAACCTTCCATATTCCTAGATTCCTTTTTTTATCACCCATCTTTTCCCGTAAATTCTATTTCTACATTTTTCACCTTTATTTATTTTACCTTTTTAAAAAATTAATTATTTGATATTACATTTTGACAACATATCATATCAGTAAAAAAGTAACCCATAATCGGAAAAAAACTATGTATTTATTATAACGTTCATAAACAAAATTTTTTTAAAAAAATTTCAAACCTGATGACCCCTATTGCTACAAGGGGCGTAAGAGCTGAAGTAAAAACCGAACTGCTTTGAAGCAAAAACGTACAAATAGCTCCAATAAGGATAGCGAAATATCCAGTCAAAAATGTAAAAGGTTTAGGTATATCTGCGTTTACCACTTTCCTAATACCTAATGCAATTTTGCCTAAAAAAATAAATGTATGTAAATATTATATTTTTTTTTATTAAATTCACAGTTCTAAAAAATATGTCTACCATAAAATCCGTGAAGTTAAATTTGAGAATATCATCAAAAAATATATATTCTAATATAAAGTGAATTAATAAATGCAATATAAGTAAAATATGTCAGAAGCGAAAACTGTGGCCAAAAATTTTTTAAGTCGTTTTCAATATAATTAATCTTCCTTAAAGTGGAAAAATGAGATGTGGGAATATAATTATATTTGAAGATTGGGAAAGAAAAAATTTTAATGCAATTTTATTAATTTTTTTTAAATTTTATTGATATTAATTCAATATTTTGAATAAAAATATACGTTAATTTATTAATTATTTCCGAACTCTGAATATATTGAAATCCAATTTTACCACAATTTGGAAATGGAAACAGAACAAATCTAGGAATTGGTACCCATTTTAAAATTTCCGGAAATTGATTCTTAAAACTAATTCTAACATGCTATTATAGGGAGGTGTTGATATCAAATATCTGATCGCATCGACATTTTCAAAAAACCGATCAGATCCGATATTTTCATAGCTGATTATTTTATGAATATATTAATTTTATAATTATTTTCTTTTATTTTACGCATAATTTAGTGATAATAATAAATTAATAAAAGGAACCAAAATTCAATTTATTTGTAACGTTTAAAAAATTTAAATTATTTTATAAGATATAGCTCTAAAGATTTTTTTTATTATTATTTGCAAAAAGAGGATTTTAAAACGAGTCACATTAAGGTAGTGTTGTTAAACGGCTAATTCAAGATTTTAGCCAAAAGCACATTATTTAAGCTTTAAATGTTGCTAGACTTATTACATTCACCCAAAAACATTGCTCATATTTTAAATGAGAAATTGAGAATAAAAATAAATAAAATATATATAATCATTCGTGAAAGTTTTTTTCTGAATAGAAAATAATTATTTTTTTAACCCTGGGAACCGCAAGTCCAGATTTTCAAAACTATAAATTGCACAAATATTGGAGATAGGTGATATGAAATAATAAACAGCTGCTAAGTATTATGAATTCTAATGCCATTGTTTAAGAATTAAATTAGTATAAAGAAATTGTTGTTTTGCATAGCATAAACATTTTCTATTCTATTTCATATATTTAAACTTTTATATCGGTTTAGCCCAAAATTGACGACTCATATTAAACCGATGTCCATCTAAAAAATAATTTTAGGTGACCTATATAATGTCCATTATTTTAAATATAATCCTAGTTTTTATGTTTTTCTATTAAAATCATTAGATAAATTTTAAGTATGGAGCATCGGTTGTAGGTTAAAACACGATTTAAAATTTATATCCATAAAAATATGAAATATATTATATGACACAGAATATAACAATTTTTAATAAAATTAAATTTTAAGTATTTTATGGATATTCTGTTATTTATTCTAAATGAGTTCCTTAATTATTTAATTCCATATTATCAAATCTTTGATATCTATTCACTTTTATGATTTATTATTTGAATTATGATAAATATACAAAATAATTAATTTCATAAAAATTTTGGACCTTCATTTCTTCTGCTTATTTCAAAAATATGATCAAATACTTCGGTTATGATCAAGCTTAATTATTTTTTTATATTTTACTTTTTCATTTATATTTTAAATTTTTGACAAATCAAAAAACCCTTGCAAACGACGTCTGACACAAATATCATCTTCACTTTCTCTTATTATAAAGTAATTTTTTATAAATGAGACTGAAGATTTCACCCATGGCATTTTTACTATAATATTTATTTTAACTATCAATTCAGGTATGATAATAATAAGAAAATTTAGATACAATTTTATTTTATATTTAAAACAATATACCTTTGAGCATTGAATGTAATACTTTTACAATGCATAAGAGGCATAGCGTGAGCATAAATAGGGAGATAATCAACAAGATAGTACCAATAACCCCATCACTCCAATTAACGTAAGCAAACAAAAATTTACCTTTAAAAAATTTGGTTCATAATTATAAATAATGTTAGGAATTTTGATAAATTTTAACATAAGAAGGCTATAATTTACATTGACATATTAAACTATAAAATAACATTTCAAAATATCTAAAATTAATGTTTCAATATTTTAAATTTTCAGAATTAGATGTTTAGTAATATATCACATCACACATACTTACAAAATGCAATAACAAAAATGTAACTGTAGATTACATTTGACTAAAATATTATTGACTGGTTGAGAGCCATTCAAGGAAATATTTAGTTGAGTTGTCATATTGCTATTGCCAGCAGCGCCCTTTTTTAAACACCACCTTTTCACTAGGGACATATTGGCAGTTTCATTCATTTTTCCTTCTGCTATCAAAGTTATCACATTTTTATTAAGCTGAATAAAAAAATAAATGTCTATATAACACAAAATGTTTTGTTGTATAAATGTGATATAAGTAAATATTGATTGTTCATTAAGAAAAGTAATAAAATTTTTAGTCTGTCGATGTGTTGGCATATTTTTTTTATCTTGGTTTGTTTTATAAAAAAGAGATTTTGGACACTTTTTAAAATGAATAAAATTGGCATCGTTATTTATGATCTAAATTTTATTAAAATTTTAACTCATACACAGATATATGCTTTTAACGAAAACCGCGAGAATCATAATTCATTAAATCCCATTTTCAACTTTATGTTGGAGTCATAAATTATGTATAATTATGAAAAGGGAATATTTTTTGGAGCTGAAACTCACCAGGAAGATTACCTTTATATTTAACTGTTCCATTTTTTTTTAAATCAACGGTAAATTTTAGTTTTTCATAAAATACGAATATAATATATGGTATCATATTAAAAAATCAATATATTTCATAAAAATATGCATTTAATATATATTAAAATATATCCATTTTCGATTCCATTCCTGCGAATAATAAGTATTTTCTATAGGCTAAATTTCTATTATTTTGCTCCTAATGCTAAATAAATAATGCTTATGATTTTATATTATAAATTAGAGCTCTTCAACACAAGGCAAATTAAAAAAAATTATAACGAGCTGAGACAGGCAAATTTAAGGCCGGACAATTCGTACATGAAAATCGGGCCAGGCCTTGATCTTCGATTTTAAATTTTATTAATACTCTTTGAAATTAAAATAAATACATTTTTTATTTCCAAAATTTCCCGAATTAAAATTTTTTGCATGATAAAATGTCTTTAATAAACTATCATATCTCCTCTATAAACTAACTAGCATTTAATCGTTAATAAAAAATCTTTTGTTTTTTTGTAACGATATAATGGTCGCAAATTTATATTAATATCTCATCCTAACTTAAATTAGTTCCGTATTTAATCAACGAATTTATTAATTAATGTTATCAAATGTATATGTCCAAAATCCTTACTAAAACTAGATTTCAGAATCATATGTTATTTTATTCAATTAAAACAATAAGGGGATAAAAATATAGTCAGAATTTTCCCAAATAATTTATTGAATAGAGAGATAAAAAATATGGTTTCAAATGATAAATTTAAAAATATATTATCGGCCATAAAAATTAGTTCACTAATAGTGAAAGCTAGGATGAGGTATAAGAAAAAAAATTAACCAGGCAAATTATAATCCTTTGTTTGAAAAATTCAAAAAATTTGATGAAAAGATACCTAGAAAGCCAATTTGGAAAAAAAAGACCTGTCTGGAAGTGATTAAATTCATAAATAAAATAAAAGCATAATTAGTGCCAACGTTGACTGATACTACACGTCAAAATTTATTTCAGAAGTTAAAAAAAATAATTTAAATATTTTCTATATTTATGATTTATTTATTATTCACCTTTTCCAAAAATAAATATATTTCTAATTTAAAAAAACAAATAGTAAAATATATAAAGAAAAGTATAAATATTATACCCAAACCCAATTGTATTTAAAAAAATTATATAAATATTTTCTTATAAAAATTAATTATATAGGATTATTTTAAATTTTAAAAAATAAATAAGGTTATATAATATAATAATAATTAAATCTATAAATAAAATAGTAAATTCACAAAAAATTAAACAAGTTATTTATGATATGATCCAATTACAAATGCAGATAAAACTTAATAGACAGGTATTGGGAAGGACCTTAAAAATGTTATGGTGGAAAAATTCACACAAAAAAATTATAGGCCAGATTTTTTTGTAAAACTTTAACGAGGCTAGCCAGGAAATTAGTAAAAAAAGTTATGGGATCCAGATGGGTCTGGCAAAAATTTAAATAATGGGCCAGACCTTGCTTTCAATTAAAAATACATTTAATTATTTTCATAAATTCTTTTCAATTCAAATCAAACTAATGATCGGTCTGACAAATATACTTTAAAGATATCGAATTTAGATCTGAAAAATATGTCTGATGTCTGGTCTGTATTTTAGTGAGATAGGGGGCAAATATAATTTGGTGGGGGGGGGGGGGTGTAAAAGCGTCCGTAGCGTAGGGGGTGTAAAACCCGCAGCAATGCCCTAGATCCAATTCCAACCAAGCCGATTAGAACTTGTTTGGATCAAATAAACTATATAACACTTATTTTTAAACATAGTTCTATCTACATTATATTTTTCCATTATAAAAATAATAAAAAAACGTTTTAATTAAACCATTAAATACAAAGGTAATAAACATTCGTAATATATCAGCACCCAAATATATTCCCTTCCCAAATTTTATCAAAAATTATAAAAAAAGTCTAGGGATTTTGATTTTATACATAATTCCAGCATCAATATTTGTGAAATAAATAAAATTTAATGAATTTGCAAAAACTAAGATGACTATAATGTAAATGTACATTTGAGTAGCTCTAACTAGTAACTTTTCAAGTCAGGTTATCCTATGCTACGTTTTAGACAAGGTAACAGACCAGACTTTTGAAAAATAATTCAAGTAACACTAGCCATGATGCTATTGAGTAAAAAATTAGTGTAAAATCAAAATACCACCTACCTGAATCTATGATAATTATGGTGACATGATTTAGATAAAATTGGTCAGCTATAACTCAATTTAAACAATATGGTATTACCTCAATAAAAAGTGATGTAAAAGGTTTGGTCAAGCTGGATAGGATTTCTTTGTTGTTTGCATTGTTTACTTTATTACTCTCACCTGCAAGTTGTTGAAAGTTTATTTGACTAACAATCGCAAATGTTAGGTGATACAACAAACCTGATTTGAATTATAAAAGATATTAATTGTAAGAAGAAAAAAACCATAATTATAAAATGATTGAATTTACAAATTCACCAAAAATATAATAAATATGCAATGAATAATCAAGGCAATTAAATTTTGTTTAAGTGGTCAATGTTCTTATACACTTTTATAAACATTTTATTTAATACCAGTTAGACTTTCCAAAGGGAGCAAAACACAAACTGTGAGCCAGTTGAACATGTCATGTATGGTCGCAGCTGCAAAGGCCCTCCTAAATTCGTTATTTTCATTTCGATTTTTGCCTTTACTATTGATGAATTCAAAAGAATCTGCTTTTGAGGCGTCTGGTTTATTATTGGTTTTAGAAGCTTTTCCATTGCTCTCACTAATGCCGTTATTAATTTTAGTGGCACTAGCTAAGCTAACAATGGTGTTTGTTACAGAGGTTCCTATATTGGCTCCCATTATTATAGGTATTGCAGGCTTAACGGTTAATACTAAATGGTTTATTTTGTAAATAAAAAGATGATGAGTAAAAAATGGGTTAAAATAAAAATAAGTATAAATGGTCTATGAAAAGTGCAAATCCTAATTTATTTCTTAAATTTCTTTAGTTTCTTATTTAAGTATTTATATTATACAGAGACAGACGCACAAATAAGAAGTCTGCAACAGGTAAGTAAAAAATTTAAACATTGGGAAGGCATTATTTTAAAAAACACAATGGGCAGAGTGGGCAAGTGTATTTAAAATATTTTTTGAATGCAATGAGATGAACGGACTTATATTTATTAAAAATAAATTATTCTCATTTCATAATATTGCATATTTTATGTAAAAAAATATTAAAATTGAGCTAACAAACCTATAAGATAATTAAACATAGGGTGCACAGGTTTAGTTAAAAAAAATAATTTTAAGTGCAGGCATTTGAGTTAAAACTACAGCTATTACAGACATCGAGCATTAGACCTGTGTGCCGCTGATCAAATATGCCGCCGCAGGTGATTTTTAACCACGCTGACGCCAAAAAATGTCGGCGCTCAACACGCCGTCATCAATGTAAAAATTTGCAGGGGTAGCGACGTGATACATATTTTTTATTATTAAAAAAATATTTATTTTATATATTATTTATGAATTGTAATTAGAAAGAAAAATACTATTAAATATTTTTTAAATTATTATAAAATGCAATTTTATTTTTCAAAATTAATAAATATTATTTGCTATAAAAACATTTGATTTGTAACAAGATATGTTATTATTAGGCTAGTAATTTACAGAAAAGGTATTAAAATATTTAGTGATCTGCATCGGGCCTAATTTTTCAAGCCCGGCCCGGCGTGAAATTTTCTTTAAAAAAGTTTTCCCAGCCTGGCCCGATTTTATTTAAATACAGAAATTAATTTTTATAATTACTCAAAATAAAAGACATATGTTATATAGCGTCTAGTTCTATAAATAAAATAAAATATTTTTATTTCCCATAAAAAAATCAATATAAAATTGATAAATCTAAAAATATTTAATTAAATTTCCAAGGCCCGGCCCGACCCATATTTTTTAAAAGCTTCGGGCCAGGTAAGGCAGGGCCTTTTATTCTTTTAATTTTTGATGTTTCAAATCTTTTATATAAGACATCAATTATTATATGATTAATACAATATTTTCTTTATACAATCTACAACTCTTCATATAAAATTTATTTTTTAACATAAAAGGAAATTTTAATTAATGATTTTTATTTTATTGCCATTATAAAATATATAAAAATAGCAGGAATAAAACAATTATAATAGATGCAGTATTGCAATACCCTGTAACAAAATACAGTATATCCTTGCAAGCCAAACCTTCTTTTGCATGGAACATTTTGGATCCTTAATATTAAAAACTGACACAAATAAGAGAACCAGTGTTGCTGAAGATAAAGTCTTTTGTAATTAAACATGCAAATAGCACTTGATAAAGAATGGTGAGGATGAAAATAATTATTCATTTTCAGAGTAAATTTTTGATTATTTTTAAAATATTTGTTAATATTTTAATTAGTTAACCAATCAAATCTTTTTCAATTCCTGTGCGTTCCAGCTACGAGCACACCCAGCGAGCGTGTATTTTCCATAGCTGGGCTCACTCTGAACTCTAAGAGATCATCATTATGTCCTATAAATATAAATAAAAAAATATTTATACATGATAAATATAACTTAAAATTGTTAATTTATATTTATAAAACAAGCATAAATTTTATTTTAATTATAACTTTAATTAAAAATTTAAGTTAGAATATTTGACGCCGATGCGACGCCGTTGATTTTTGTGGCGGCGCCTAAATAGATTGGCCGTCGCCACCCCAACGTTTTAAAAAAATAAACACCACGCAGATAATGCTGTCGGCGCACAGGTCTATCTAGCATCAACACCACCTTTTTAGCCTACCAATATCTCACCTAATACACCAATATTAACAAGGTATTGACAAATACTATTGATACTGCATCATACTAAAAATAATAATATAGTGTAGTGTATTTATATTGATTTATTAAAAAGATCATCAATAATATCTTTTTTCGTCATTTATAATTTATGTAATTTCTAAAATTAAATCATAAAAAATAGTAAATAAATAATAACAGCACTTTCTTTCTTTTTTTTCTATTGGTTTAAAAATTTTTATGATTCTTTTAATATTTATATCATACAGTTGACTAAAAATCTTTTTCTAATGTCACAGTGTATATTAGAATTTAGTGTGATTTTGGATTTAACAAGTGTATAATGAGATTCCATTTCATATATAAAATAAAATAACCTTATTTTTAATGGAATCCCATTTTACAATTTTTCTGAAAAAATACCTCCTTTTTTCTTTTTTTAAATTAAGATTAAATTCGTAAAACATAATTAGGGCTGTGCTGATATTAAATATCGAATCGGATCGGCAATGATATTTAGCGTTTTCCAAAAATATCAGATCTGCCCAATACCTGTAAAAACCCAATCTATTTATTTTTCTTATTTTATGTTTATTTATTTTAAATTTTTTTAAATAATAACGCCAATTTTATTATTTATACCTTTTAAATAAAAGAATTTTTTTAAATATGATATCTGAATTATGGAAATATTTTACAAAGGACAAATAATATTACAAAATGCGTTATCTGCAGAATTCTAATTTTACGGGGAGGAAAAATTCATTTAATAATACAATACCCGTAAACTTGTTTTAATTATTGTAGAAATAAAAAATTAAATTAAATGCACAATTCGATTTTTTGCATAAAAAATATTGATTGGGGGTGGTGAAAAATCAATATAAATATAGGTATTGGATCGGATTGGTGAAAAATATGAGGATGGACACAGCCCTAAACATAATCATTCTAATAGCAGTGGTTCAACAACTGACTTATTGTGGGAGATATCAATTTGTAAATGTATACATATAAGTTGTAATCAAATCAATGTTGTTGCCATTATTGTTGTTAAAATTTAGGACGATTTTTTAAAACGACCCGATTAAGATTTTAGCCAGCCAAAATAATATTATGCAAACCATAACAAATAAATGCCCATACCTTTCTGTTATCTATGAGCAAAATTTTCAGACTTATATAACATCATTTTGATTGGGCCATTTTTTAAAATCAACCCAAATTGGACTTTTTAACACCACTAGTTGTCATAGAATTAAATTTAATCGAAATGTTACAAAGGTTTTTTTTGGTCAAAAAGAAATTTTAATAAATTTTTACTGCTATTTTGTATGATTGATATAAACATATTTTATTTTTATTGTTTAGTATAATAAATTTTAATAAATAATTTTTATTAATATTATCAGGGACCTGTAGACCCAGCCCTAAGCCCGGAAACACAAACCAGGCAATATTTTAATTTTTTAAAATATCCTGAGATAGGCTTGAAAATTTTTAAAAATAATAACCTAGACCCAGTTGTATAAACCTAATATTTTAAATTTCCATTTTTAGCTAAAAAATTAAAAAGCAATATAATATATTTGTAAAAATTCTGAATGAAAATAGAGAAACCAGGCAGGTGGGGAAAAATTTTTTGAAAAAAAAATCCAGGCAGGCCAGGCTGTGCAAATGGTATTTCTACAAGTCTGATTATTATATTGAATGGAATATACTACATTAAGTTAGGCTGTATCCATATTGGCATCCAATCTAAGATAATTTCATAGCTGATCAATTTTTAAAATTTGTTTATGACGTATAAACTTTAAAAATTGATAAGCTGTGTCACATCAGATGCCACTATGAATAAGGCCTTATAAATGCTAAAATTTAGGTTAGGTAATTATGCTTTAGTTAATAAATTGATTAAGGTTAGTAATATAAAATGTTTAATTATATTTCTCAAATACACAATTTTGAATAAAAATATTTTAAAAATTTGGAATTTGATTAAGGATAACAAATCAGAAATGGTCAAATTATTAGGCTCAAATTCATAATTTAACTTTAAATAAAAGGGTGTATTTTCCTAAAAAATAAAAAGAATTTGTTATTATAGGGTATTTCCTAGATGAAAAAAAATTTTTTATTATTTAAATTAGCAATGTGTAATTTTTTCAACTTTAAATCATTTTTTGAGCATGTTTTTACTTATTTTACTGGAAATGTAATCCAGCAAGTTTAGAATATCTATGAATGGTAGACAATATTGTCTTTAACCTTATACTTTATATAAAGAATATATGGAGAAAGTAATATAAATTATATTAAGCTTAATAGTTCATGGCTAAATTGTCTGTAATTCATAGTAGATATTCCAAACATCAAAAAATGATTTAAATTAGAAAAAAAACAAATTGTAGCTAACATAAATAAAAGGGTGGATTTTAAAAGAAAAATAATGAGAGGGCAGGAATGCAGGTTAAAAAATTTAAAACAATGAGCAGGCAGGCATTTGGTTTATAACTCACTCATTGCAGACCTCTAGCACTTACTATCTATAAACAAAGCCTTGCAAGCAACATAAAAAAAAGCCTGGATAAGCTTTAAGATGAACCAATACTTAAAATTTTATTAAAGTGTATACAAACAAAATCAATGATTTTAAATAATAAACTTCCACTTGCAACCATTGTAACTATAATTGAGGTAGTTGTGGAAGAACTTTGCAATAAAACTGTTGCTAACACACCAATCATAAGTCCTGCCACACTATTATTTAGCAATTTACTCTCAGTAAAAACTTTGCCAGCAGTTTTGCCTGTCATTTATCAATTTACATATTAATTAAAAATTAATATAAATTCACCCCCTAAAAGTTTAAAGGAAGAGGATAATAAATCCAAAGAACATATGAATAGATACAATAGGATTATCAGAATAACCATTTTACCAATGTAATCAATCAGAATTTTTTTGAGTTTTTGCTTCCAAGTCATAGCTAATTATAGGAGTATTTAAAAATATAATATTATGTAAATAAAATTAATTAAAAAATATGATATGGTTTAATTAAAATTATAATTTAAAACGTACACAATTCTAAAACAATTTGCAAAAAATACCATGCCAATCCATGGCAACCATTTGAAATTCTGGCAATGCCCAGGGATCTGATGATAAAGCCTCCTCTTCTTTCTGATTGTTTGCAAAATCCGTTCCATTATTTTTAGATCCTTGCATATTTGCATTATTCAAATTAGCATCTGATGACAGCCAAGGCAAAGATGAGTATTCCGTATCATTCCGATGCATCTCTTCACTATCTTGTAAGTTAGCACTTGTTGGATTCTCACCAAACACTATAGCTCCTTTCTCCGTTGTCGAATTAGTAATAGAATCATAGTTGAAATTATTTTCTAAGTTTGGGATTTTCTCAATGTTCTTTATTTGTGAAGATATATTATATATTAAATGATAAAATTTATAACTTAATAATCAATAAAGCCAAAAAGCGTTTCACGTTATGACAGGATTCATTTATAAATGACTATGTGACTTAAAACGGCATTAGGTAAATTAAATTATAAAATCATATTACCAAGAATCAGGCATTGAATAAATGTAATAAATATATATATTTATTATGTAACCCTGAATTTTTTTTACTTTAATTCTTTGAGCTTATTGCAAATAATAGATTTGGAAGAATTAAATATTAAATTAATTCAAATTTATAATTCGTGAAGATTTTCTTAAATCTTATTATTACCTACCAAGTGGTAAAATGATTATATTTTCAACCGTATTTGGCCTAAATAATATATTCTGTTTACTTTATGTATATAAATTTGATCTCAGACTAGTAAACAAAGTGTCATAAATTAAAACTTGAATTTGATATCCCAAAATTCTATATGCAATACCATTATGCATAATATAGTTCTAGAGAAAGAAAGAAAGAAATAAATAAATAAATTAAAAAAAAGATAGAAAATATAGAAATGAAATGAAATGAAATGAAATGAAATGAAATGAAAAAAAGAAAGAAAAAAAAAGAAAAGAAAAGAAAAGAAAAGAAAAGAAAAGAAAAGAAAAGAAAAGAAAAGAAAAGAAAAGAAAAGAAAAGAAAAGAAAAGAAAAGAAAAGAAAAGAAAAGAAAAGAAAAGAAAAGAAAAGAAAAGAAAAGAAAAGAAAAGAAAAGAAAAGAAAAGAAAAGAAAAGAAAAGAAAAGAAAAGAAAAGAAATAAAAAAAGAGAAAAAAAGAAAAAGAAGCAAGGAGGAAAGGAAAAGAAAGGAAAATAAAAAAAAAATTAAGAAATCTTTTAAAATATTTGATATTGATTCAAAAATTTCTATTAGAATAATTTATTATTTATAATCGTATAACGAATTATGAATTACTTTATTTTATATGCAACACAAATAATATATATTAAAGTTCAAAATTATTTATAATCGTAATATAATGTAAGCCTAAAGATTTTGGAAATTGAGGTCCAAACCTCTCTGCCACCATTAGCAAAATCTCCAGGGTTATATAATTTGGGCTAAAATCAAAAATGGGCTCTTTTTAAAATGGCAGTTTAACAACACTAATCCTAAGTAAGATATAATTTAAAAATAATTATTTTTAAAATAAATTTATGAAAAAGGCATTTTCAGGTATGAAGTTTTTCTAATTGTTTCATACTAGAAACATTGTATTCATGCCAACAGAATAAGACGCTCACATATATAGTTCACCAGTTTTCCAATTTTCTTTTTTTGATTACCAATGTTGGGAACACATCTCAAGAATTATGAAAATGGCTATGATTCGATTCTCGTTTAAGAGCTGTTTTTAAATGTAAGAGGCAGGTTGTCTCAGCTTTATTTTTTTATATTTGCATATTTGGAAATGATTATACATGGAGAATATCAAACATCAGACTCTTATGGGACTTTAATAAGAACACGTCTTTTATACCTGGGAAGAAACGTCTCCAAACGCTTTATCTTGGACGGTACGTTTAAAGACGCTGTATCTTTATGATACGTCCCCATTTGTCCTAGTCCAAAATATTACTTCCTAATAAATAATGATATTGTGCAGAAAATAAATTTTTAATACGCATCACATATATTCATATCTTCAAAATTAATAAAACAATATTATATACAATTTAGAACCACTATTTTCAATATTTGTTAGTGATAATATCTAGACTATTTTAGTCCACTAGTCCAAAGTCATGTAAAGAAAGATTCTAAATAAACAAAATTTAGGATGAGTTAAAATGACAAAAATAAATATAAAATTATAAAAATAATTTTTAATTTAAAAAAATATGTAAAATATATTAAATAATGTTGGAATTTTCCTTTTGTGATTGAAACTTTTCCTTTTTGAGTAGGAATTTTCCATTTTATCGAAATTTTTATCTTTTTCGACTGGGAAACCATCTGAGTGATAAAAATTAAACTTTTATTATCTAAGATATAAACTTTATACTTTATAATTAATTTTTAGATTAGTGTAAAATTTATTTATATTTAAAAGGTTTATGTATAATTTTTATAAAGATGAAAAATAATATATATTTCTAGAAAAATCTCCTTTTACATTTATTTCATATATAAAACATATTATGATAAAATTTTACTTTAATAAAATTTGGGATTTCCATTCCAATAAATTTCTCCCGTATCCTATTTACCCAAATTGCATTTTCTATAATTATAAAAGAATTAATTAATTATAATCATCGCTTTAGCACAATTAATCCAAAAGGAATTGATTTCCAAATTTAGAATATTGAAATGTATAATAAAAATAATATTCTTGTAAATAAAAAAAAAATGTAACCCCGCAGCTAAATTTATATAATTTTAAGAAAAATATTTTTTGGACATTTTTCTTTATGTATTCATTATCAAATAGTTTACTACACATTTGCACAAAATGATATTAACGAAAATAAAAAATTTGTGCATGAAATCCTTATTTTAATAATTACAGAATTGGCTATATTATCGTAATTAATTTCTTGGCAATATTATGCGAATATACCTTTAAGAATTTTATCTAATCATTCTCTTATCGCATATATTTTAAGTTTTACGTTTCTAAATCTATTTATTCATCTAGAAAACATTATTTATGAAGAATATTTATTATAAGGTGTAATATTTCATTATTTTTCATATAATTATTATAAAATAAGAGATTATATTATCTTAAAATCCATTATAATTTATTATAAGTTTTAAATAATAAATTTTAGATCCATTTGGCATCACTGGTTGAAAATATATTTTTTTATTTGAGAAAAATGTTTTCTAAGTAACGCCTAAATAAAATGGCTGTGAAATCTTTCTAATTATTTATTCACCTAAAAATATGCTCAAGTAGTAGAATATAGTAAGGAAAATATTGTTTTTTAAGAAAAGATATTTTATTTTATATTCACAAGATTCTTTACCAGCTCTATAGTGAAAATTTGAGTTAAATCAAAAAGACACGTTAGTGAACGAAGAATCGGATAGTTTTACTGAATTGTGTAATAAACAAAAATGATAAAATTGATATTTTATAAAAAAATTTCAGAGATCTGCAGAAAAATTTTAAAACTAGATCCGGATTGAAAAAAATCCAATTGCGGTTAAAAGCATTATTTTGAATAATTTTGGTTACATTTATTAAATATTGCAAGGAGATAAACAATTCATTAAATATAATTTTCAGCTATTTTTTAAATTGGCCCAGCCTGGACTTTGCAAGAAAAAAAAATCAAACCTATCCACCTAATTTTTAAGGGTTTAAAGCTTGGATTTAAAAAAAATTTCTGGTAGTTCGAGCCCGAGCCTGTTTCGAGTCGAGCTTGCAAGTCTTTGATTTTTTAAATGTTTTTTTTTTAAATTTATCTATTAATTTTTCAATTATGTGTAGTAATTATTTTTTCAAATTAAATGTCACTTTTTAATTAATTTTTTTAGCATATTCATTCGAATATGCCTCGAAAAATAAAGTAATTCTCAACTGTATATTATATTATATAGTGTTATGAATGCACTTATTTATATAAATTATTTATATTATCGTCGTGACGTATCACTTAAAAGAATAATTAAAATTTGAAAGATTTGTAACTGGTTTTCATCATAAGGAAGACATTGGATAAAAATATAAATACCAATTTGATTAAGAGTATATTTCCTCTTAGATCTATCTAATAATCACTAACGATATTGAGATAATTTATAAAAGTATTAATGTAAAATTCCGAACAAAAAATATTAATTGAATGAAATAAAAATTGACATTAATTACATTAACAATATAAAAATCGGCAAATCATCTATATAAACTATTAAGAGTATATTATGATATTTTAATCCTTAAATGGCAAAAGTATAAGGTAATATAATATTTTAAATTAATAAAAATTGTATCGCATATTGATTCCCCAAAATTAATGAAAATCACCAGTACAAAAATTTTTAAAACTGAAACAAAAATAAGTCTTAGGGCAAAAATATTTTTAAACTGAAAATTGACAATTTTTAAAAACAAATTATGTTGTAAAAATATTTCAAGGCTAATTTTAATGGTGCACTTCAAAAATTTCTAATTCAGAAAAGGAGGAAAATGTTTATAGAAAAGAAGCATATATTTTTTTTAAATTTAATTTGTTTCAATTGTGCAATCACTTTTACATATTTTTAATCTGAATAAATTCCTCGATATTGATGCATCTAAATATCCATCTTTCGAGTGATCTTATAACAATCGTTTTTTAAGCTATTATATTTAAATTATAAAAAATATATATTTAGGGACGGCCACTTATAGACAATTGGATATGTAAAATAAAATCATTCTCTGCCCAGTTGTATATTAGGGAAATATTCTCTCGATTTTAATAGCATAGCTCTTTTTTAGAAAAAAATAATCTTAGGACTAGTCTAACTCAGTAGCTCCTTCAACAAAGTGAACACGAAGCAAATATTTCACTAAATTTGTAATTCGCAAAAATTGCTTTAACTAGGAAATTTTGTACTTCTAACCACCTCCTCTATCATAATAATACAAATTTTGTATGCGATAGTTTAAAACGCTACACAGGAGAAATTTTAAATTTAGATGATTTTGAAGTTAAAGAATCACAATTTCACATAAATTTTTATAGTAGGAGAAATATATATTAAACTTCTAATGATTAATGATTTGGATTCTTCATGAAAAATTATTCGTTACTTTGTAACTTGTCCGCTTGTCTAAATTAATAAATCTAGTATCTGTTTAACAATCTCCATAACGTCATGCTCAGCCAAAAGGGTGATGAGCAAAATAATATAAGTATAGACTGCGAAGCACTATGATCATTTAAATAATTTAACAATTTTGACTATGGAAAAACACCTTATTTAGATAATGATAAAATTATAAACAAGTTTGCATTTTTTTTCTCTAATTTATCGGAATTGTAATATATTATTTTATTTTTTTGTGCAGTATCATTTTATTGACTAAAGTCACAATATTAAAAAGGAAAAAAATTATAACATAAGCATATCGAGAGGAGTTAGGAATTGCCCCCTTCCCTCGAAAATTAGTCTGTATCTTCCTACACTCCCCTTACCCCTTCCAAAAAATGTATACAATATATCATTATGAAGAAAATTGGTAAAAGTTAATATAACTTAACGACTTTTTTAGAAAAACATTTTTATAAAAAGGCCCATAATTATTTATATAGAAATCGAATATAGCAAAGGCCTACAATAAGTGAACTTAAAGATCTCCAATAAAGTTTATAGGGAAAACCCCACTAAAATCCCCCCTTGGCAAAATTCTGGTTACGCCTATAAATTATATGCAGTTTTTATCCGAAATGCGCACCGTTTTTTAATATGATTTTTACAGTTTTTAAATTATTTTCACAATTTTATAAGTAAATTCACAATTTAATATATATATTTATAGTATTATCAGTGGCGTAGCCAGGATTTTATCATGGGTTTTACATTCCTTTATTTAATCATGTATATATTTTTATTAATTAAAATATTTTCAAAATGTTTATATTTTATATAATATAGATTTTAATATTAAAAATTATAATGTATAAAGACTCTATTTTTAAAAAAAGTAATTTTTTATAATTATATAAAATATGTGTAATTTTTATGCAAATAATGGTATTTAAAAAATATGATGATATTATCTTATAAATAATACTTTTTCTACAAAACAAAATTGATTATATATTAAAACTAATAAAATTTTATTGCTATTTTTTGATTTGAATTTAAAAAGAGAGATCTACTTTTCTCTGAGATTTTGCTAATTTATCTAGAATCAAATTTATATCTAATCTCCTTATAAATATTCAATAGGGCTAATCCATTTATACGTTTTTCACCGGTTGTGTTTTAAATAGGTTTTTAACCTTTTTAAAGTTGAAAAAGAACTTTCATTAGTTCAGGTACTAATTGGCAAGGTAGCTAAAATAATTAATAATGTTTTGATATTAGGCATCTAAAATGCAATTACACATGGAAAGGGCCTGCAGAGCATTTTTTGGTCTCAGAGAATACCCTATTCTGTCAAGATTTTTATACCAAAATTCGACATCACGAAGTAAATTATCATATGAACCTACTAAATCATCAGCATAAAACTCTGAGATTTTTTTAATATCCTCTCGTGTTTCAAGTGTAATCAACAGTTTAGACTCAACCGGCAAAAGTAAAATAAAAGCTTTTTAAAATATAATTATGACTAATAAATCTTTCTTTTAATTGAAATAAAAATGTATCAATAAGGGGAATAAAAATGTTTATTTTATAAAAATCTTCAATCGTAGATGCATCAATATTTGATTGATTGGATTGTCTAGAGACTACTCTAGGTTTAAAAATTTCAATTCCAAACATATTAGCAATCTCCTTTACTTTTTCATATATTTCATGAAATTTTTCATCCACATTCTCTCTGATATTTGTTAATATTGCAACAATATCCTTTGCTCTATTCATAATATCCCTTAAATCCAAATCAATTTTTTGTAGAATTTTGCTAAAATCATATGTATAATTTAATAAAAAATAAGTACATTGAATTGAAATAAAAAGCTGTGGCTTAATAATAGCCGGCAAAAGATTTTCGGCATCTGCTGAATCTTTTTCCTTGCTTGATATATAAAATTCTAGTGCTGCAAAGACAACATAATATAGTTCAATAAAGAGTTTCACCGACTCTTGTCTTTCGATGAATCTGTCTTCTTAGTTTTTTTTTGATTTTTTGAGTCAATATCATGATACGTTTGAATAAATAACTCCCTTTTTTGGGTGGTGTGAAATTCATATTGAAAATGAGAAATATATATTTTTATAAAATGGAATATGACAAACTAGAACTTTTATGAAATGCAAAATAATATAAAATTTATTTAATAAATATAAAAATAATCAAATGTGTATATCTATTATTATTTATAATAAATTTAAAACATAAAAATCAAGCGTTTATTAAGAATTTATTAAATTAAAATTAAAAAATTTTTTAAAAATAAAATTAAACCCCCCCCCCCCATGCCTACGCCACTAAGTATTATTAATAATTATATTCACAGTTATAAAATTATTTAAACAGTTTTTCAATTATGTAAAGTTTTTAAATTATTTTCATAGCTTTTTATAATTATTTTCAGTTTTTAAAATAAATGCTAAGTTTTTAAATTATTTTCACAGTTTTTTAATTAAATTCGCAGTTTATTAGACATGCCTACTAAAATCCATAGAATCTAACAGTGCGAAGCCAGTCGTGTGGCCAGGATTTTCCTATGGGAGGAGGAAGAGATATAATTTTTTTATATTTGAAATTATCTTTTTGGATTAAAATTTTTTAGAACTAATACATAAAATTAATTAGAACCAATCATATTTGAACATATAATAATTTCTAACACAAATAATTAAATATGATAAATTCAAAATTTTTAAGAGAATACTGTTAAAAAAATTATAATTATATAAACCGGCATGTAAATCACAATAAAATATAATATTATAAACATTTTATTTTGATTTTAAAATAATCAAAATATTCATAAATAAATGAAAACGATTGCGCCAATTTTTAATAATTTGTTCTGTGTTGTAAATTAGATCTCTATGTATATTTAGTAAAGCTAGTAGTCCATTCATTCGATTTTAAGATGCTGTACTCTTGAGATAGGTTTTTATTATATGTAATGAAGAAAAGATCATCTCATTTGCTTGTACTAATTGGTATCATTGTACACAGTAATTTAAATATATTTGGAAAAACTCAAATAATTAATCTTTCATGATTTAAATTCCAAAATTAATTGGCTCAGATCCAAAATACTTAATTTTTTCTATATCAAGATTATATCCTCAGATCAATGTGAGTTATAAGATATATTATTTGTAAATTGGATGGAGCCATTTGATGCATCACTAACCATTCATTGATTTAACTCAAAAGTGTATCCAAAAGTTAAATAAAAACGGTTATTTTATATTAATCCTCAATTTTTACGTTAATATTGGAACGATTGGTTTGCCGGTGAAAGTCAAGGTTTGCAATCTAAAATCATATATCGCTTTAACCTCTACTATCACATAAATTAAGAGGAATTTGGTCGATATCATCTCTTAGTTTTCTAATTTATAATATAATAATTCGCGATTCACATAACTTCAACCAAATCCATATCATTTTTTTAAAAAAGATTGCATAAAATTGTTATGCAATAAATAATTTATTGATAATCCCAATGAAAAAATCTAGAGATAAATTAAATATAATTTTTTTTGGATGATAAATAGTTTTAAAATGTAAGAAAAACTTTAAATTTTCGTAATATAAAATATTAATATACAAATTTTTAAAATAATTTAAATTTTTTGCTAATATTTAGATAATAACCTATTTAAAATAGAATGTTTTGCAATTCACATTTTATGTAAACCTATTATTTTTTCAAAAATTCTTGCTACAAGTGGGATCACCCTATGCGTCTGCGCGAAGCAGTCAATAAATTTCTGTTAGTTTTTATAGAACCATGCAGTTCAGGGTAAGGCCATATAAGCTCGTGGGCAGTGTTTGCAGTTAGGCTGGAGCTATGCAACAAAGATAAGAGTTAATGTTTATATTAGATGCTGAAAAATACTAATTTTATTAGATATCAATCCCACTACATTCGGTTAAATTCAACAGATACATGGTGAAGCAGCAATAATTTCTGTTATTTTACCGAACTACATGATTCAGGCAAGGCTTGATACCAAACTCGTGGACTACGTTAGCAATTAGCTTAGGGCTATGTTTAGTTATTAGATGAGGAGAAATACCAATCTTATTAGATATGCCAAACCACTACATTAAATAAAATCTAACAAAAAATATAAAATAATTTTATTAAAACTGTGAAAATATGTTAAAAAGATCATATTGATTTAAAATCTGTGAAATCAATTAATAAAACTGTGAGAGCATGAATTAAAAAGTAAAAATATTGTTTTAAGGGAGATATCTTTTATTCCGTGATCTCAAACCAGGGCTGTGAACCAAAATCCAACTCCTCAATCCGAACCCTCCTGAACCATCGATATTTCGCTGAACCCAAACCCTAACCCTTTTTAAAAATTTAGAGTTCAGGGTCTTAACTTTTTTTAAAAAAAATTTCGATCGTAAAATGACGATATTTTAGAAGATAATATGATGGTTCAAATAAAATTTTTGAAATAGAAATATAATATTATATTTAAAATTGTATAGTAGTATTTTATATATTATAATTATGATGATGTCAACTCAATACTAATTAAAATAAATTTCTTAAAAAAATGGTGTTTCTGTTTTGTTATTTTAACTCTGGTCTCCGAACTCTGAAACTGTCTGAACCCGAATTGGGTTCAGATATTTTTCACTTAACCCAAACCCGAACCCATTGAAGGAAGGTTCACAGAGCCCTGTCTAAAAAACTAAGGTCTTTAACAAAAACTTAGGCTTTAAAAAATATAAACACTTTAAATAATACATAATTTACTTTTGAAACATTTTAAATAATTTAAATTTAATCTTATTTTGAAACACTTTAAATAATATCTAATTTTATTTTCAATTAAATTTAATAAAATATAAGTATAATTTTAGTTTTACCTTTAATTTTCCGAATATTATAATGTTGTTTTAATTTAAAAAAAAAACATTATTTAAAACAAAAATTGATGATCTTGTATATAATCATTTTAAACAAAAATATCAGGCAATATCATGTGATTAACTTCGGCGAATTAGAATTATACCCCAAAATAAAATATATGCGATATATGCAAAATAAAATAACAAAAATTATAATCACGGGGTTAAATAAAAGATCCTCCGCGATAACAAATTAATTACATAAAATAACAAATCACAACACCTCCGCTAAGTGACTGCCCCATATTCTTCGATTGTACAATCTATTAAAACTATGTATCCATCGCGCTCTTCCAAGAGCAGTTGTCTTCGCTGGAATCCCCTAAGTTTACTTGTTCCGTAATATTCCCATAATTCTCTGTCCTCCTTCGCCTTCTTTTATGAGTAAAAATGGTCTCTATTCGTACATCATATCAAATTCGCATAAAAATTTATAAAAACATAAAAATATTAATCCCAAATATTATACCATTTACCTTTTAGCGTGCCATTTTACTTCCTCTTGCAACTCTACCAAATATTTTAAAAATAATTTCTAAAAATATTCCTTGAAAATATAATCAACTGAAGTTTAGATTACTATCTGCTTACAATTTTCTACATACAAAATTTTTCATACCCCATCAAGTCAAGCCCAAAATATATAAAAGCTTGTTTTAATTCTCAAATTATATTTAATATTTTATCGTATATACCAGAGGTCTGCAAATGAAACATTTTCAGGCTCAATGGAATTTAGTTAATGCCCATCCCAAAGGATAGAACCACAAAGTTGGATTAAGAAAAAAAAATACCAAGTTTAATTAAGAAAAAAAGAAGATCTTTGCTGGGATTCCATCCGATTTGTAAGCGACGCTCTTGCCCATTAGGCCACAGACGTTTTTCTCAAAATTCACGATTTTTTAAATATATATTATAAATTGTGACACGTGACATGATTTTATATATATGAGACTTGCAGGCCTGGCCCGGATTTACCGGGACGTATTTTAATTTTTTGAAATATACCCAGGGCCGTTTATTTAAAAACCAAATATTTGAAATCACCATTATTAGCTATAAAAATCATAAATAATAATATATTTTGAAAAAATCGGGGCCAGACCGTGCAAATTGTACCTCTGCGGGTCTCTGTACATATTATAGATTTTTATAGATAGATAGATGTTTATGATGTATAAGATGGTAATGTTAGATTTTATTTTAATGGATGTTTTGATGAATGATTGTTTGATATGGTATGATGCTATAAGAATACTTGGCTATTACGTTGTGAAAAATTTATAAATATAAGAATACCTATTTAATAGTTTGAATATTAAAGTAGCAACAAACTTTGAATCGTATGTAAATATGTTACACTTAATTATTTTATCTTCTATTTAATTAATTTTGCCAAATTAAGAAGAAAAAAACTTTGTTGGAATTCGAACCCATGACTCTCACATTTGTAAGGGACGCTTTTGCCGACTAGGCCACAAACGCTTTTAAAAAATTGTGAATTTTAAAATATAAATTGTGACTGTGACAAGGCTTTTATATATATTATAGAAGATAAGATTTTTTTTTAAATGATAAACATTAAAAAAATACCATTGATTCTTTTATATTTTAATATAGTGTATTATAAAGCGGGTGGGCCGGTAAAGGGAATTTTGGGGCAAAGCCCTTCAAATATGGGGCCTCTTTTATAAATATGGGGCCTTTAGCCATTTATTTTATACTTTTAAAAAGGATTTTTTTTAAAAAAAAATAAAACTAAGATAAAGGAGTTAGAAATTACTATTTAAATAAAGATACTGCAAAATATTAATTTATCTTTGTAAACTTATACACAATTTTTTTTAACATCTCAAAATCTTTCAGGCGTATCAGATTACACCGCAAGTCCTTAGCTAGAATTTTATGACTTATATTATTTTACTCAAAATAAAAAATGAAACTTCGAAATATTTTCAATAATTTCTCAGAATTAAAAAAAATACTTAAGCTCATATTTTTACTGAATTTTTTTCTTAAAATCTAAGCGAAGAGTTTCATATATATTTCTGAGCTATTCATTTTTTAATCACAGCGTTTCAGTTTTATACTTGAGCAAATAGTATTTTTGAGCATTAAGAAATAATTCTGAACATTTATTCATTCTGAACTCTTAAGGATTTTCCTGTCCGTATAAATCTTAATTTCATAAGTTGTTGCAATTATTTTCAATATAGATCTATCTCATTAATTGGAAATTATTTTTAAAAGTTATTAAATATTTATTTCTTCAAAAATTTTTTTTTAAATATTGTATAATATGAACATTTGATTTATGTATTATAAAAGAAGAATGAGTGTAAATTACATCTGTAACTATTATTGTTAAGAAGATTATATTTTCTATAATGAAAAACATTGAAAAAGAGGTATACATAGATATTTTTTATGGACAAATTTTAGTTTTCCATATTCATTTAGCGGGGCTTGGTTGAGAAGCGGCGTCTCCTTTTTTGGCACTTTTGCTTCTCTTACTTCTTCTGCTTCTACCTCTTTTGGATCTCCTTCCACTACGAGATCTACGAGATTTTCTGCCTTTTGAAGAAGACCTTCCCTTTCTCCTCCTTCTCCTTCTTTTGCTCTTCCCAGAATCTTGAGAATCATCTGAACTATCGTCACCTCCTTTTTTACCTCTTCTTCTTTTACGTCTCCTTTTTCCATTAGAGGCACCGCCAGGTTGAGGTTTTCTGCGTCTACGACGTCTTTTCTTCACAGAGCTATCTTCACTACCTTTTTGACTTTTACTTTTACTTCTCTTGCTGCTTTTACTTACTTTTCCAGCACAATTACCCATCATCATATCAGATTTCATAGACTCGTTCATTATGACATTTTTCTCGTTTCGTGGTTTTTTGCAAATTTTGCCTGTCTTAGGAGCATTGAGAATCTTGAGGAGCCTAATAGATTTTTGTAATTTTAAGCCTCTAATACTAATCATATCTTTTTGCTTTTTCGTTGTTAATTTAGCCATTAAAATAATTTTTTAATAAATAACCATTAACTATATATAAACAAGCAATAAATTTTTAATAAAACTTTTTTAAAAAAAATATTTTACAATTAAATACAGATGAATTATGCAAAATTACAACATTGTCGTATGTAATTATGTCACATTTATGATGTAAATTCATTCTTGTAATAAATATTTGCGCATTACATAGCTAATTTATTAATACATCATTGAGATTTAAATGTAAACTCGTTGACAGAAACTCTTATTTCTAGTAGCATTGTCAGTATAAGACAATAGAGATATATATAGTAATTCAATAAAGTGCGAAGAAATATTATTGATGGAAGCTAATATAGGATATATAATGCTCGTGCCTTTTTTTTAGGGAATGGAATAATTATCTCTATCCACATATATGTAGGTGAATTTAGACGGTTAAGCTAATTTTTTACAATACTTTTATGATTGTAATACAATGAAGCTGGAATATATATATTATTCTGAAAGTTTTAATAAGTATTTTTGTTAATAATTTTGATTTTCCTTTTTTTCTTCTGAGAATTGAGGTAAATTAGTTTTTTTTTCTAAAGGGCGGCTGAAGGTCTAACTTACATTTTAGCAGCCTTGACTGATGAATCTGAATATTTTTTTTATTTTACATTTTGTTTACCTATATCAGAGACCTGCAGGGCCGGATCGTATTTTAATTTTTTTTTTTTAATTTTTTTATTTAAATAGTCGAACAAGACCAGGCCGTATATTTTAAAACCAAATATTTTAAATCGTCATTATTAACTATAAAAATTAAAAAATAATTGCCAGGCCGAATTTTTTTTAAAAAATCCTAGCCAGGCCGTGCAAATGGTATTTCTGCAGGTCTCTGACCTACATATTTAGTTAACGACCTATTTTTCCCAAATAATTTTTAAAGTATAATGCAATCTCTTTTCCCAACATTTGTGATCAATCACAATCTATGATTCACAACCGATTACTATATTATATACTCAGATATAATTTTGGGGTTAGTAAAGGTGGTGAGATATTTGTGTTTCCCGGAGATAAAATAAAATTCCTGACAATTCTTTTATGGCTAATAATGGATCCTATATAAAGCTTGTTTCCTATATATACAGAGAAAATTACCCTCCCCTGTATTGCTTATAATACCATCCTGGCCACCAAAAACATTTATATATTCTATAAATTTTTACTTGATTTACAAACTTTTCAGACATCATAATTTATTTATGCTAGGAATAACAAATAAGCATTCGTTGTAATAATCAAATAGTTGTTACTAACAGTAGTCTAAATATTAGCCAAATATATAATTCCAAAAACTGCATTAATATGTTATCTATGTGAATAAATAATTCAAAATGAATTAATCGTTAAATCGAAATATTAGTAAATTAAAATCTCATTATACCAGGTTATTAATTTTGCATTTAATCTACAAATAGTTTCTTTATTTATTTTACCTTATCCCCTAGCTTACCCCCCTTTGAATGCCTTATCCATATCCCATTCAAATAACAAATAACATATAGGTACTGGGTTCAAATATAATCTGACGAAAGATTGATAGATGGTAATATATTTTTATTATTTAAATACGATTTTATATTATTTTTATTCTTAAGAACCCTACTTTTTTCGCAATCAGTCTTATATAATATTCGTTTAAATTGACCAATAATTAACCCCAAATCTATTATTTCATTTTTTTTATTCCGGACTTTAATTTTTTACAATAGATCCACAACTTTTAATTAACCACTATTTCTGATTCACTACCATTCTTGACACCTTGACCCCCTCCCCGGCAGAACTATAAAAAGGTGATTTGTTTTATGGAACAATTTACCTTATTTATTGATCAAATTATATTTATATACTGATCAAAACTTCTTTTTTAACTGTTCAAAACCGACCAATTTTGAAATAAATGCTAATTAAATATTAATTTTATAATGGTAGAAATTATTTATTAATCAAAAGTTTCTGAAATTTTGTAAAAATTCTAAAAGTTTTAATTATTCGTATTTCATTTTTTTTTTTAAAACAAATTATTTATTACATAAATTCGTAACCAAATAAATAATTTTTCCATTCAAATATGATTTTTTCAAAATTTTTATCGTTTTGTTCATGTATATTTCAAAGGAAAATTATTTTTATTGAGAACTTGTACCAATTCTATTTATATTAAATTAAAGATAATATATTAATAATTTATTGGACCTAATTACAGTGTATAAATGATTGAGCGTATGTTAAGTTTAATATATGAATTGAAAGAAATCATAAAAATGTTTATACACATAGCCCTATGTTTCATTGTTAAATTATTCGATTTATACTTGATAAAAAATATATTAGCAGGCATTTTATATAGGATTTAGAAAAATATAACAGCATTTAATTTAAAAAAATATATAATATTAATTATATGAATCTATGTTTATATAAAAAAATATTTCTAAAAAAATGATTAGAAAAGTTTGTAAAAGAATGAAAAAACTGTAATAAGGAACTAGATAAATTTTGAAAAAAATGTGGAGTCATCCCAGTGATAAGAGAATTCTGTCTATGTTGGTTTTCGAGAAAAATAATTTTAGGCAAGAGGTATTTGTTGATGGGAACACTCAGGGGGGAGGGGTAATTTTTTATATTAAAATAATTTGTTTTGGAATGTTGAAAATTTATAAGAACTTCAATTTCGAAAACAAATAATATTGCATTGGAAAATATAATATATTTAAGAACCATTATAATACTATATGAATCGATATGTTTATTTACAGTAAAATATTGAATTAAACATTTAAAAGTTATATCAAAGCATCGTTGATAGAAAATTTAATACTCCTTACAGTTGCGCTAACTTTTTATTAATTTGTTCTGTATAGAGGATTAAATCTTGATCGATAAGTTGTATTCTTAGATAGGTTTTTATTCTCCGTAATGAAGAAAGAGTTCATCTTATTGTTGCTTATACTAATTGGTATTGTTGCCAAACTATACAGTAATTTTAATATATATTTTAAAAAAACTTCAAAATATATTTTAAAAGCAATGCTTCTAGTAAATTTCTTGAAAGATTATCACATAAATTTGGTCAAATTCTTGGTGGATATTATGATTATATCTTAGTTTTCTAAGTTTTTTAGTACTAAATTCTTTATTCTAAAAAACAATTTTAATTTATAAAGGTTTTTAAATGTAATATATATTTACATGTCGGATAAAATATGGTAAACATTCTATATAAAATATCTTGTATATAAAAAAATTCATTTAAGTTTTAATATTATAGTTTCACGTTTCTCATAACATCAGCCAAATCAATAAAATCGACTGTCCTATTGAATCCAATAATGTATCAGCGTCAGGTAAAATATCTTCAGGCATTTGGGTATTTCTCCAAAGGCGTTTAAAAAAGATTCTTCTAGATTTAAAAATACTGTAATAACTAGGTGTAGAAAGTTCCATCTTGCAGGGCATCCCTTTTGCAGTTTCTTTCTTCTAAAAGCACAAGAAGTCTGGTAAATAATTCTATTCAGAAAATTCCTTTTCTTTAGATATTTGAACAATTTATAAAGAAATTTCTGTCAGTTATTAGTAGAGATCAGTGTTAAAGGTTTAAAAGAATGTAAGAAAATATACTTTAAATCTTCATGGGATAAAATATTATTAGAAATATTAAGAATAATTACAATTTTTTGATAATATTTAAATTGGAATATAACTTATTTGAAATGGATATTTTGCAATTCCCAATTAATGATATATTATTGTTCCTAATTCATGAAAATCTTTTATATTATTTCTACGCTCCCCCCCCCCTTACGCTGGTGGGACACTCGAGAATTTAGACAGAATAGGAATTCTCATATATAACTAGGTCGTTTAGAAAGGTTGTACAGCGAATGAGATATGCACGATAAGATTAAGAGCTGTACGATAAAAACGTCTATAAAAAGGATTTATGCGGATTGTAGAACAATACCCCTTACCTTTTTTAACGTAGCAATTGAAATATTAAGAACTTTTTAGGTTATTATTAGAGTGGATTTATAAATATTATGTATAAAGCAAGTAAATTTTGTAAAAAAAATCAATAATAAAAATTGAAAATGCAATGTAATTCAAAGAAGAATTTAAATATAAAATAAAAATTATTACAATAATTAGTTATTAAACCTTTTTCAGAATTTATTTTCTCTTTTGTATTGGTCTTTATATAAATGAATAAAATTAAATCATATAATTACTTGGTGGTAGACTTAAACTATGCTTCACTTTGTTATTCTAAATATTGTAATAATAATTATTATAGTTGAAAAAATATTATACATACATACAAAAGATACTACAAATGATGGCAGAGTTATTAAACATCAAACTCGATTCTAACTCATGGCTTCAATCAACTCTCCCTTGTAAATCGGGAGAACTAGACAAGATCGGCATTAATTATAGCCCTTGTTTCCTTCATCTCATCAACCTTATCAGTATAAAATATTACCTCGCAAATTATTACCATCGATAAAAATAATTTATTAGATGAAGCCTTACGTTGTTGGAATATTAATGTCTTACCAAACACAGCCCCACCAGATTCAACGAAACAAAAAGATTGGGATCAAGGATTGGTATCTCGTTCCTTAGCTTACCTCAACTTGACCGATGATCATCAATATAAATCCCTCCTACGATCACTTAATTTCAGCAACTCTGGCCATGAATGGTTAGTTTCATATCCCAGCATTTTAACTAACCAGCTAATAGATAACCACGCTTTTCGTTATGCAATCAATTTACGCTCGGGCGTACCTTTTCTAAACCATTATATTTGCATTAAATGCAATCAAGCGGCAGAATCATATGGGAGACACGCTCTCCACTTTATAAAAAATCAGCCGACATGATAAAATAATTATAATAATAGCTTCTTTTTTAAATAAAGCCAATTTTCCCTGTATTTTTAGAACCGACATCTTTTTTAG